TGTTGTTGGACAGTATAGGCTGTAAAGCGTGTCCCTTGGTCTGAAGAAATGACAGTCAGCTATTCAAATTGGTGCAGTATATTCTGTTTGATTGGGCTCATAATACTCTGACGTATAGGAAAAACCCAGTCTTTCCTTTCTATGTGGGGAAAAACCCAGTTCTCTGCCAGATGCTTCTTTCGTGTATTTATATCACACATAACTTCAGTTCTGACACTCTAGTCACCAAATGTGTGGCGGTTTTTTCCCTCATCAAACAATTTTTTGTTACAGGTTAAGGACTCAGTCCCACAAGACTGCCCCTCCCCTCCAACATACCCACCCACACACTCACACTTCAGAGCACAGTTGCAAACCTAGATTATCATCTGTGCTTCTTTCTGAACAACTGGCTGAAGAGCAGAGGTTCCAACGACCCCCTCCTTGGGTTCAGTTAATTTGCTAGTATGGCTCACAAAACTCAGAAAAATAATTATGTTTACCAGTTTATTAAAGGATATGACAACGGACACAGATAAATAGCCAGATGAAGAGATACATAAGGCAAGGGCATTCTTTTACTAGATCAGGTTTCCATTGCCTTCATTCTTGACCGTATGGCCACTCCATTGGCAACTGCCCATGAGTCAGGTAAAACCAAACATAGAGGGTTTTACCACTATTCACATCTGCCATCACTGCTAGAAAACAGCATTCGATTCAGCTCACCAGGCTAATCTATTTTTACCTTCTTTGGGCAAAGTGGTAGCCTTTCAAACAAGATGTTTGGCCATTCACTGTGGAACTGCTGTCCACAAACCAAGTAGCTCTTTTTTGGTCAGTCAAGAGCAATTTATAGGGCACTGTCCAAGTGAGAATAGAACCCAGCAGTTCCTCACACAGTTCCAGAGTGATTCCTAGGGGAAAAGAGGCTCCCTGCTCATGAGTATCTTCTTGCTTTGCCCAGGCAGCATAATCTTGTAAACCATTTCTATTTTATTAGGAAACTTTTCGAGACACTGCCATCTCCATTAGAGCATTTCTCTGACATGATACAAGACATATAGGCATTTCATGTTTTAAGAACATTTTATGTCCTTCAGTTATTGAGGTAACTTCAATTAGCATCTGATGGCAAGGTAGTAAATATCCCTTAAATGGAAATTCTCTAGTCCAACTTCTCCAGTATCAGTAGTCATCACTGGGAAGTGCTCACAGGCTCTTGCCGTAAGCCCCAGTCCACACCCCACGCAGGGTGATTACACAGACAAATCGTTCGTGCCAGATCTCCAGCTTCTATTTTACATTGTGTGGACTCGGACAATATTTCTCATTCCCATTTAGCATGTCCGATTAATAGTGCTTGAAGGGCAGATTTATATGCCTTCTGTTTTATAAATCACAAAGCTACACTAAAAAAAAAGCTCCTTTCCAGATCAGGGAAGTCACATTCAAAGCAACTCAGTTGCTTTCCCTCCTTTTCCCAATGGCAGGCTCAGAAGTGGAGTTTTAGGAAGAATAACTGGGCTTTGAATAAGTCCAAGTAGAGATTCTTAAATCTGTTCCAGGTAAGTGATCTGCATCCCTCTGGTGCCTGAGTTTTTTATAATTGGGGTGGGATTGAGGGAGAGGCAATGGGATCTGAAAACCCAAAAACTTGCCCCTGGAGGCAGATTTTCCCACTTTATGCTGTTTGCCACTCAGTTCCTTTCTCCAAGCAAACTTCCCTGATCATAGTCTTCCTCATCTCCTGCTCTGGGATGGTCTCTCCTAGGGACTGTGGGAAACTGCCCTCTTACTAACCTGGCAGTGATCATTTCTGATTGCATGCCAGGGCTGGAAATTGCTGGAAGTTGCCATCACCAGCAGCATGTGCCTAGCATGGGAGATTATTAGAAATGCAGAACCTCAGGTCCCACCCCAGACCCAATGAATTCCAATTTGCAATTTAATAATATCTTCAGGTGATTCATAGACACATTGAAGTTCTAGGATCAGTGCTGTAAAGGTCACAGTCCCTGACCCGCGCCCCCCGCCCCCATCACTTACTACTGGGTTTTCATTCCAACGTCCCCCTGACTGACTGTGTGTGTTTGGGGGCCGGAGTGAGATGGCAAGAGGGGAGATGAACACTGGTGCTGCTCACCAAGAGTTTACATTGGATGTTTGTCTGCCAGTAAAAAAAAAGTATTTGTATGTAAAGAAATGGAGTAGTGACTGCTAGAGTGAAACTTCTTTTGCAACTGCTCCAAAACCCATGTGCTTTATCTGAGTTAATTTACTAACATCCTACCAGAGGGCGCTGTAATGCCTTTCTTTTCAGTCCTTAAAACCTTTGTATACTAAAGCCAGAAAGTTCAAGTTATCGGTGCTTAAATACATGTAATTTAATCGGATGCATCAAGACCTGTGTTATCCAGGTATTATTTTCTTGACTTTGTAGGTGAGTAAAGAGCTGTTCCCTAATTCCAAAACTCAGGCTCCTTTTGTAACCTATAGTACCACATTTGTTGCTGTTATTATACTACAAATACCAAGTCATATGGAGAAATAATTAAAACAAAAGTTTGCTTACCTCACAGTTTTAAGGCAAAACTGTGCTTAAGAAGGTAGCTCTGCTCCTAGTTAAGTAGTCAAGCTAAACAATATTTATTGGGTTGTTTTGCTAAGAGTCTTTTAACTGCTTATGACGCAAATGTAATCCATATCGTTTAGACTTTGAAAAGTTAAATGAAATATTGTTGGGTGTTCTGCAAGAAATTTAGAGAGTGGTGAATATCAAAGTAACTCAGAACAAGATTTTTAAATGTATATGATGACTTGGCCAGCCTTAATATTTCCCTCAGCTCATATGAACTTTAGACAGGTTTCTTCCTGACTCTTGGTCCCTGATTTTTTAGATAAGAGTCTACTTTTCATAAGTACCAATCAGTCATTATTGTTTCACTATGTTAAACTATGTCATCTTTTAAGATACACACACATATACATTCTTTATTTTCGACAGTTTTAGTTTTATGGAAAATTAAACAGAAAATACAGAGAGTTCCTGTTTCCCTTCTTCCTCCAACACAATTTCCCCTATTAACATCTTGCATTAGTGTGGTACATTTGTTTAAATTGAAGAACAACTCCTGCTACATTATTAACTAAAATGCATAGTTTACATGATCGTTTACTCTTTGTGTTGTGTATCCTATCTGTTTTGACAAATGTACATGACATCTATCCACTGTTATAGTATCGTAGAGAATTGAATTGTATTGTCCTAAAAATCCGGTGCTCTACTTATTTCTCTCGCTCCTAGATTTTACAGTATGTAGCCTTTTCAAATTGTCTTCTTTCTCTTAGCAACATACATTAACAGTTCTTCTATGTCTTTGTTTTTTTTGTTGTTGTTGTTGTTGCTGTTGTTGTTGTTTTTAACTTGAGATCTTAGGAGTCCCTGAATAATGTCATTGTTTGGAAGTTCCACAGTGTATTTAACCATTCATCTATTGACAGGTATCTTGGTTGCTTCCAAGATTTGGCATTTAGGAATATAGCTGCTCTAAACACTATAAATAGTACAAGTTTTGTGTGGACTTCAGTTTTCGACTCATTTGTGTAAATGCCAAGGAGAGAGACTATATTTTGACTATGCAGATCATATGACTATATTTTGTATCTTAAGAAACCGGCCAAATTGTCTTACAGTTAATCTGCTTTTTGTTATCACCACCTGCTGAAACTTCTCAATAGTTTCAGAGATTAAAACAGCTCACTGGAAAAAAATTGTGATCTAATACTGATTTCTGCAGTTCCTGTTTTAACGATATGTAAATGCTGCTGCAACTGGACAAATCTCATTGTGGGCGGATCCTCAGCTTTTTTTCTTGGACTCCAAAAAAGTCCAAGAAAGAGTGATGTAGATAGAGATCCTCAGCTTTAAAATGAGATCACTCCAAAAAAGTCCAAGAAAGAGTGATGTAGATAGAATTAATCTACAAAGAGGCAGAGCCCTGTTCTCATCTTTGGTAGGCCAGGTAGACTCTCAGGCTGTGAAGTCCTCAGCTGACCTTCCCCTGCTCTGCCAGGAAGGGACAGTTTGGGAGATGGGCCTGGGCAGAGGACTTTGCTCAGTTCCCCCAAGCCCGGGTTCTGTCCAAGAATCACGACCACAGGATTAGGGCAAGCTCTCTGCCACTTTCAGTCCATCACTAGCTCAAATTTGTGCTCCTTGCCAGGGGAGGGTTAAGTGTTCGAGGTATGTGTAGCAAGGAAGCCACTAACCCCACCCGTGAAAGGCAGCCAGTGAACCGCCGTGGTCTTCCTGTTTATGAAGCGTTAGGTTTCCTCTTTTGTCTCAAAGGCTGCAAAGAACAGAGAAATGGAACATGAGAAAACAGAACTAAAAGCAAAGAGTCAGGCAGTGGGCTGAAGCAGTAGTCGGTTGGGCCTTGAGAAAGCCAAGTATCCTGCACATACTTTCTTCTACTCGAGGCCGGTATCACATGTTGCCTCCCCCAGGACTTGGCGGGTGGTTGAGGCCTGGATCTAGTGAAGACCTAGGACTTGTGGTGAGATAGATGTGAGAACTTGAGGCTTCCTGGAGGTCACAGTTCTGGGGAGGTCACATGTCAGAGTTTTGTAGCTGTGAAACATCTTCTTCTGCACTCCTTGGCTTTTTCTCCAGAGTCCTAACTACTCCAAATGAGGAACATTACCAGAAACAGAAACAAAAAATGCAGAAGGGGTGACTTGCCAGGGACTTCCCCACAGCATTTCGCCAGGCTATTGCGAAAATCTGACCAGATTTCCTCTCAGATGTCCTGAGGCCCTGACCTGTCCTCTTTATCATAGTTGGCAGAACTCCGAGGTGGGGGAGAACTAGTAAAGGATTACTGAGGACAGCCACCACCACCACCATCCCACCCCATTCTCCTTCCCCGGGATCTGGGTCTTAAGACTTCTGGAAAGACTGCCAGAAGGAAAGGGGTTTCCTAATGTTCTTGTTCAAGGACTCTCTCTCTCTTTTACAGCTCAGCTCTTTACCCCTCTTCAACTTCTTTGCCTTGCTTGGCGTGGAAATTTGTGGAAGTTATGACTTCGAGAAGCATTGGGCCCTGACAACCCCCTCTTCTGAAACTTCCCATAAGTTTTGGTAAGTTTCACATACCAAAAGCTGGGCCGGTGGCAGCGGAGAGAGAAAACAGGTTAAAAGGTGAGTGGTAAAAGATCTGCAAAAAGAGAAAAATAGTATTGATTAGAATGAAAATGAACAAACAGAAAAGAGTAAATTGAAGCAAATTTCCCTATGACCCATTAAACTGGTCTCCCATTCCTGTGAATAGATCAGTGCAATACAATGTCTTTGCTTTATTTATCTGATGGAAAATAATAATCTTTTCTTTTAACAGATTTAAGTTAGATACTACTTGTCCTGTTTAGTTTACATAAAAGCAACATTTTTCACCAATGACTGCATGAGCTTGTTGACCAGTCAGTTTTTAAAGCATGACCATTTTGGAGAACAGCAGAGGCCAAGCTGTTAACTTATAACTAAAGTACTGTGAAAGTTTGCACAGTGGTATTGAACTCTTGTTTCATTACATGAAGAGATTTAAGATTACCTTTTCCATTCATACTTTCCAAGGCTTGGGAATAAGTGACTCACCACTGAAAGGAACTGGAGTTATGATACACAAGTGGATTTTTTCCAATTTCTCGATTGGCACGTTTATGCAGCATAACTTTATGAACAAAGGAACCCAGGTTTGCAATTTGGCTGGCATTTAGGGAGTTTACAGACAAGGTTAAAGTGGAACCTGTCATCAGCAAGGGAAAGAAACAACCATTTGAATGGAAAAATATGTTTGTAAGCAACGCCTCCGATAAGGGCCTTACGTCCAAAACATACAAAGAACTCATACAACTCAATAACAATAAAAAAGCAAATGTTCCAATCAAAAAATGTGCAGAAGACCTGAACAGAAACTTCTCCCAAGAAGACATACAAATGGCCAACAAACATATGAAAAGATGCTCATCATCACTAG